CTGCCAGTGGTTAGACAGACTAGGCAAATAATTATCTGAATAGATGATTAGTTAATGACTAGCTGATTAGGTGACCTGTTGGGGTCCTTTTCAGCTATTTTATATGATTCTATGAAATAGGTTCTCTCATACCTATTTTAGGACTTAAAATACAGGGGCAAGGGGCAAGTAGGTAGTAAAACAGAACCTCTTCACTATAGTGGGCACATCTACATGTGTACTTTATTGCAGAGTTGAATAATTAGCTCTGCAGTAAAGTGACACTGTTTACATGTGCGCTGGTATTAGGGCACAGTAAATGAATTAACTCCACTGTAAGAAAGTACTGTTGGGGATAGTACTATCTTATGGCAGAGTAAGTAACTGCACTGAAATGCACATATAGAAGGTGAGGGACTGGCTGGGGCACAAGGGTGCTAAAGTATGGGGGGGCTGCCTGGCACCTAACCACATAGCTCTGCATGTTCTGAACACTTGTGCCCCAGCCAGCAACCCCTCCACCATCTGACAATACCACCAAAGCTTGGGGCAGACCCCCTCTGCCAGTCTGGAGGTACTCTGCCCTGGATCAAACTGAGGAGGTCCTGGATATGTGTAGACACTGCACCCACCATCAGTTAACTCCAGCATGAACAGTCCCAGACTTTATTGTGTTGTATTCATTACACATGTATGTAGATGCACCCAATATGACTAAAATAGATGTGATAAGTTACCACTATCATTATGAAACACTTGCATAGAGAGTACATTTTGTTTTAAGCAGTTGAATATTATCTTTTGTTTGGAAACTAAGAGATTTTTTAATTTTCTTGCAATTTTTTAAAATTATATCAATCATATTCTTTATAATCCACTTTGGGAAAACCTAAGCATGTAAGGTTAACTCTGGATTGTTTTTAATTCTTATTTCTTGGGGCTGTGTATCTTTTAGAATTTCTGCTTTCACTAAGAACCTTCTCTGAGCTTGGATAAGCTTTCCAATGGTATATCAAACATGAGTGGTTGTGAATGTCAGGTCATAAAGATACTTAGAATGGTTATATGCTTTTCTATCTGCCTATGAAACATGAAAGGCTTAATGGGTTTGGGACTAGCAAGGCCTTTTTAAGAGCATATTTTAATTTTTTGAATAATAATGAAGATGTTGACAACTTATAGCACATTACATCCCCATATCTCATGTAGTATATAAGATGATAAGGCATTATATCCATTTTATGTATAGGAGAATGGATCTATAAAGAAGTCCAGTCATTTTTCCAGGCAGTGGCAGAACCAAGAACAGAACCTGTCTTGTTACTGTCTATATTCCTAATAAAAATAATAAAAGTATAAAGTCTGGATCTGGCCTGTGGCAACTCAGGAAATCAGTACCACGCTCCAGCCACAGCTTCAGAGAAGGCACCTCCAGGGTCTTATTGCTTGCTGAGTTTAGTTTATTCTCTCTGCTGCAGTAGTCTAGTATCTGCATTTTTTTATCCATTCCTTTTGCAGTGTCTGCTAATCACTGGGGAGTTAGAAGGGTGCAGCCTGTTGTGGGAACTAGGTCTTAAGTAGTAGTCCATGGTAGTCCATGGTAGCAAAAAGTTGCCAATGCCTACATTAGTTGATTCAATAATTTTTTTAGGGCTTTCACTGACACGGTTAGCATAGACCCTGCCAAAAACTCCAGGAGAGGGTAAATTCTGTTTTTTTAAATCAACACAGTAGAAAAAGAGAGTGCTATATTAATGACTCTATTTGATTTACGTAATAATCTCGCTTATTCACATATGATTAATGGCTAAGTATACATAGTAAATCTATAAAACCTGGGCACATACAAACAAAATACTTCTCCCTCATTGTTACCTTGGAGCCTAATGTGATTGGTAGAAGTGTATCAGTTTGATTGGACGATTAACGTCAGTTCCCTTCACCAGAGCAAGAGATAGCTACAGCAGTTTCTAGACCTGTATCCTGCCTTAATCTGAATCTACTGAATTTGAAGATTTACCTCAAAATGTACGGTGGAGATTATGTGAGTAGAATGATTTGTTCTGCTGTCTTTCAAACTCTTCTTGACTTGAATTTCCAACCTCACTAGAACATTAATGGTGAAGTCCTCAGTGGGTACAAATCCATGTACCCCTATTGAGTCAATAAATTTGGGTGTAGGTTTATAGGTGGTATCTAAAATGTGAACAGAGTGGAGACTGTTTTTGTGAAATTCAGCTATATAGTAGTAGCATTATAATTTTAAAGCAAATTAATTTGTCCTTATATTATTCATTTCTGAGCTCAGAGCCCATGAGTCCTCTACTAGCATTTAGCTGTCACAGATATAGTTGTGTAGAAACATGGAAGAATAATGCTTTAAAACTGAACTCTGACATTTTGATTAACTTATTTCTTTTTAAATAAACAGTTTAAAGTAACCTCACAAAAATCAATATAAATCAAGAGTAATTTCTGTTTAAGACTAACTTGATAGATAAAAAAAGTCCAACAACCTTATAAAAAGTTGAAATTTTACTTGCAGAATCCAAAACAACAGATTGGTATATCAGAGTAGTATTTTAAAAAATTCTGACATATAAATCTTTTTTCCAAACGCTAATCAACAGGAAGGTGCAGAAATTTGGCCTGACTCCAAGGACTGATTTAAGATGGGATACAAGCATGATTGCTAAATATATGTATATTTATAAGTAGATCCATAGTTTATTGAAGATATAAAACTTGTGTCATCTAGATGAAATATGTTAGCTTTTGTGGTTATGTTTCATATATATATATATATAGAGAGAGAGAGAGAGAGAGAGAGATTTCATGTAATATATATGTATCAATATATTTCATTTTCTTTAGAAGATGTATACATATTCTGTATTATAATATGACATATCAAGTTTTGTCAAGCAGAATACCTTTTCTGGAAATTCATTACTTTTGTTTATATTCTGAAACCAAAAATTATTAAAAGTAAAAGCCTGACTTTTTATGAAATGCTAATTCCTAGTAAAACATGTTGATTGTGTCAAACTAATAGAGTTGTACCAGTTGTAAAGTAAACTGCATACAGGCAGTGTAATTTAAAAGCAAAATATGAAACGGCTTCAAGTATGTGGCATATTGGTGCTGTTTGAGGAATTTCATGCCACTTTGTTATAATTAATACTAGTAATAATGTAGTCTTTCCAAATTGCTTTTTGTGTTTAAATTCTCAATTGCTATACAGATCAGTTTAGAATCTTCTAAAGAATGAACCTTTTTTCTTTAAGTATGAAAGCAATGATAATTGCACTAATTAGTTCAATCTCTGGTAATGCATTCTCCTAGAAAATTATATTGCATTTATTTATTTCTTAGACAAATACTTATTGAATAAGTTTTAAAAATGTGCTCGCCTTTAATAAAGGATTTGGGATCTTGAGTACACTACAAGATGTTAGACTCCATTTAAGAACAGAAGGGGGTTTTTTATTTTCTTTCTTTTTCTTAATTTTTATATTAATTTATTGCATTTAATTCAGAAGCAGAAGAAAGAATCAGGCCTTCTGACAGAGCTAGAGGATTGATTGAACTCAGAGAAGTCAGGGAATTGAGTTCCCTTCCTTCTGCTGATTAATCAAATCCACTGGTATTTAGATAATTAATATAGTGTACTCATAAAGTAGCATTGCTTGGCATTAATATTAGTAGAATAAGTTATCACATAACTTGTGAAAGAAAGTGTTTCACTTTTATGTCTCTAAATATTGTTATATATATTAGCAAAACCGTTATGTGCACCACATTGATCTCATTTGAATTTGAAAACACAATACAGTATTATCTAATATAGTGATGCTCACCCTTCTGGCCTCACAGGCCAGTGG